ATTTATTTGACGTAGCCTGCGATTTTTTCGTTTTGTTCTGACATCACATACATCGTAGCATAAAAGTTCACAGTTTATTTATAATAAAAAAAAATTAAAAAAAATATTTTTTTATTTTTATAAATAATAAAAAACGTGTTTATTGGGGGAGGGCAGGAATGTCAAATGGGAGGGCCTGGCCCTCCCTGGCCCTCCCACGGCGCCGGGCATGGGTGGATCTGTTCGCATCGAAAGACAACGCTCAGTGTCAGCTGTTCTTTTCGATGTGCGATCTAAATGCTCCGTTAGGCGTGGATGCACTCGCGCACGATTGGCCCCCGGGCCTTCTGTACGCGTTCCCACCCCTGGCTCTGATACCCCCAACTCTGGCCAGAGTGAGAGAGCAACGCCACACACTTATCCTGATAGCTCCGCACTGGCCAGCTATGTACTGGCTAGCGGAGATATATCAGCTGCTGTGCGGGCAGCCATGGCAGCTCCCACTACGCAGGGACATACTGTCCCAAGCGGGGGGGGCGATCTTTCACCCACACCCAGAGCGCTTGGCTCTATGGGCCTGGCCCGTGAGTGGTACAATCTGAATACAGTGTGACATGAAGCTGACCCTGGCAGCTGCCAAGCGAGCCAGTGGCACTCATGCGCTATCTGTACAGTCTTCATGCACTCAGTTCGCTCCAGGGCAAACAGAGTGTGGTTGAAGCCCAACCCTACTTTTATCTTAAGGCGGTTGGTTCAGGTACCACATTTGACATTGAGGCATCCTCCCCGCCACTGTATTCCTCCGGGGAACAGCGGCCGGATTTGCCGTGTCCAGCCCGTGCTTTACGCACATACAGGGACAGATCAAGGGTGCTTTATCATAATGACCAACCCCTTGTGTCCTGGGCTAACCCTTATAAGGGCAAGCCTGTTACTAAGAAATGGCTCTCCCACTGGTTTGTGGAAGCAATTGCTTTGGGGCTCATACGAGTCAGAGTTCGCTGGCACCCTCGGGTCCGCGAGCTCTTTCGACTCAGGGTCTGGCTGCATCCTGGGCTCTGTCCAGGATGTCTCCCATCCAAGACATTGGTGCAGCGGCGAGCTGGTCCTCGCTGCTCACTTTTGTCCGCCTCTTAACAGGCTGGACGTTCTGCTCCCAGTGTGACTCAAGCAGTGCTGGGCACCTTGTTGAGTCGTTGGTTTGGTGATTTTCGAGATAAGCTCGTCTGACAATACGGGAGCTACAATTTCCCATAGTGAGACATCGAACGGAGTGTTATGAATGAGAACTATAGGTTACTTACCAGTAGCGTGGCGTGGGGAAAAATGTAGGGGAAGCCCATTTTTTGGGTCGGGGGGTGGTCAATAACGTAACCAGATGAGTGATTACAGCGCCCGGTATCATTTGACACACATTTGTATCACACAGATGCAGGACTTGCACACGCCTGTTATCTAACCGACAGGTCCGCACGCACTCTCCAGCTGAAACTCTCTCCTTATTAATTTAAGCATTTTACTTATTAATGTATGCAGACAATCACACAATCTATGTGATTTTTGGATTTACCGTGCCTCTCAATTGCCCGTGACAGGTTGGCAAGGTCGATGAATCCTGAAGTTGCCCAAGGATTGTTCAGGGAGCACGAATCCTTGTCAAAAAGAAGACATGGCCAGCCAAATAGACGCTGAAGTTTAGCGCTTCCAGTTAGCCACTCCGTGCGGACATAATTGTCCTCATTGAACGTCCGATTCTCTCCCTTTTTCCTCTGCGTACACAGCTCGAGTGCGGGCATTGGCCTGTCATCTGATTTAATTTGTAGTTGCTGCTGTAGCGGAAGTTTAGTAAAGTTATGTTTGATTAAGTACGCCAAATCTCCACCCTCCATAATACTTCATTTGCTTGATAATTTCTAACGGCGGTGATGACAGTTACAGTATTAAAACTGATGTTGATGTGATTTGATTGGATGGCAGTGTCCAATCAAATCGCCAGCCGCCTCTGAAGGGAAGCAAGAGGCGGCTAGCTTCCCTTGGCATGGCCCTGACCAATCACAGGTTGGCAGGGGCATCACGTGGGCCTCATCTGATTGGTCAATCCCTCCATTTTTTTTCACCAAGGGAAGCTAGATTCGGCTGGCCTCCTCTCGCAACAGTGAGTGCAATCTACTGTTTCACCATAACATCTAGAGGGGCGCTGTTTGTTTCACTCTTTGTAAAATACTCAATGAGAATGGGGGAGAGACGGGCCGGCAGCAACACACAGCAAAGGAGAATTATCGAAACAAAACAAAGTGTTTGTATTTATTTATTTAAATTATAACTACAATCGGAAAAAACAGGGGAAGCCTGGCTTCCCTTGGCCTCCGGGAGAAAACGCCACTGTTACTTACGTAACCCCAGTTCTCAGAGTGACATGAAGTGAGATGTCTCACCAGACGGCCCTCCTTGCTATGGTGAAGCGAGAAGAGGTGCTTATTTTGAATGACGCATGCGTCGTGGCGCAAGCTACTTATAGGGGGTGAATTCCCTGACGCTGACGTCAAGATCACCAGCCAATCAGGATTGGCGTAATGAGATTGATGCTTCTGTTGCTCCGCGATGAGGCGCATCCCATAGTGAGACATCTCACTTCATGTTACTCTGAGAACTGGGGTTACGTAAGTAACCTATAGTTTTTGGCCAGGAACGTTTTCCTTCTGTTTGTTTTTGGACCTTTCTGCTACCAGCCAGCTCCCTGTCGACAGTACCTGCCTTGGCCTAGTATTATTAATCAAACACCTTGAACTTTACTTCTGTCCGTCTCTGCTTTGGGGTCCAAGAATCCAAACGCCACAAATGTTTTTTTATTACAGCTCAGAATAATTTCAGATTAAGACACTATAACTGTATTTAAAGAATGTCTGTACCGGAGTCACGAAACAGGCCCGGATAACCCATGAATTTATAACCTAAGAACATATTTTATTAGAAAATGTGAGTGCCAGAAATTCTCTTTAATAACTTTGTTTCTAAGAGAGGGACTTGCAAACATTGTATTATGATTTTAAAGAATCCAATAATGCTCTGCATGGAATAGAGATGTGGGAGTTAATCATAAAACAAACACTTAACAATAGAGCTCTGGAAATAAATCCACACTACTAAACATTAAGACTTTTTCACCATATTGGAACGTATTATATTTATAGCTATTAATTGTACATGTTATAAAAAAGTACTGCATAAGTTGAAGTTATGTGTACTGTTGTGCTTTTCTTGTGTGTGTGTCATACAAATTGCTGGTGTGTGGGCGGACTAAAAATGAGGCCCTGGCGGCAAGAGCACCTAATCGACTGATACGTGAATGCTCTCAGAGATATGGCAATCATTAGTCAAATTGCCTCAGCTCCTCACCCCCTCTTACTTCACTTAACTCCTCGCAGGTTTTCCATATTGGCTTCTCTTACCTCCCAGCAAGGTTTATACTGTGGTATCTTGCCAATACACGGAACCAATTTACAATCATCCCAAGGCCAAAGAAGAATTTCAAACACTCAGTAAGACACTCTCTAGGCAGTTGCCTGGACACCTATATAATTGATTATCCTGAATTTATATGTATTTGACAAATCATCTCCTGTCTCCATCCAATGTATGTGGTCACATGTTTTTTAAATATCTTCACTGAATGCTCTCTGTGCAAAAACAAAGAAAAAGGCAATCATGTGTTGCGCGCACTGCTCTTCATCAGTCTGATAGCTCAAAAAGCCATCTAGTTGTTTGTGGTGACAATAAATCATTGTTTTTCCATTGGGGGCTTTCAGTGTGTGGGTGTTATTGTTCTGATTGTTGATCATTCTTTTGGTTCCAGCACATGATTAACTTTTTGTTGGATGGATGTATTTTGTAGTTTATCAGTCGTGCAGAAGGGGCAGTGACATTGAAAAGCATCGAGATTGAAAACCACAAATCATGGCTGAGAGGGTGGAGATTTTACAGCAAGCCATTTGTAAATAGAAACAGGGGAAGCATGCAAAGCTTTACCTGGTGCATTACATGTTACTTCTAGAAACAAAACAACACAAAATATCATTCACCACTCAATAACAGTGTGTAATAGACAAATGATTATTGCAGTATGCAGAGGTGGGAAGTAACTAACTAGATTTAGATATATTTACTTGAGTTACTTATTTTAATTGAGTGTTTCCATTTTATGCTACTTTGTACTTCTACCCCACTATAATGCAGAGGTAAATGGTGTACTTTTACATTTATTTGGTAGCTTTTGTTACTTTGCAGATCTGGATTATAATGTAAAAATATAATCAACACTTAAATCAGACTTTAGTCACAATTCGCAATCTACCCTGCAGTATACACAGTAATTAAAACTAGCTGCAGCTTTACCAGATTTGATAACACTTTAATGCATTAGTAATTATAATAAAAACATACAATATTATATATTATTCGTTTGGTACTTTAAGTATATTTTGATGAAAATACTTTTGTACTTTTACTTGAGTCACATTTTGAATGCAGGATTTGTACTTGTAACAGAGTATTCCTACACTCTGGTACTTCTAATTGTATTCAAGGACAAGATGAAAGTACTTCTTCCACCTCTGCTATGCTGCTTGAAGGAAGACTGTATCTGCTTATGGTTCAATGAAAATGGCAAAAAAATACAAAAATAGTTGTTGACGGATCATGACATTACGATAACAAGCCATACAAATATGTATCCTTTTCTAGCATTTAACACACAATTCAACATTGCCTTAGGCTCAAAAAGTACAAAAGTAATTCCACAGTCTTCCTCACCAAGTTTCATTGTGATTCATATTTGTAGATTCCACGATTTGTTCCCTTCCTTTTTTTTTTCTGTAGTTTATTATTATTAATGTTTTTTAAATAAGTGTGCCCCAAAAAAGTATAGCAATAATAGTACAGTAGAAAAACAAGAAGGCTAATGGACTTCAACTTCAGTTTCCATTAGTTGAATATTCCGCCACGGTTTAACATTTTGAACTTACCATCTGCAACAAAATGCTCAGGCACATGGAGGGTAACCTTGACAGTCAGGGGGCAGGGCTCCTGCGTGGCGTAGACAATGGCAATGACACATGTGCTGATGGTTATCAACGTCAGGGTGACCTTATTTAGAGGACTGTGCGGGAGGCCTGGAGGCAGAAAAAGAGAAAAACAGTTTTTACAGAAGCCCTGTTGTTTTCAAACAGATTACTGTGTCTGAACATTCTACATTGAAAATACTTTTGCATACAGCAGATAAAACAAACTAAAGCTAAACCCCCTACTAAAGCACTGCTCTTTGTTGAAAACAGACACTGAATCACCCTCAATCATTGTAAATGCAGTTAATTGTACACCTGATACATTAATCTAATGCTGGTTCAGGTTTGCCCTGAGTAAATAAAGGATAACTTTACCCGAGCTTCTGCATAACAGCCCAGAATCATTTGCAGGCGTGATATATGATCTTATTGCCACTGACAGGGTTATAGATTGGTTGTTGTGGTTGCCCTTTGGCTCCGCCAGGACTCCCATTTCCAAGCTAGATACAGGGAATTAAATTAGCCGTTTAACCTCTGTCTATGGATATTTATCATGGGAGGACTCAACATGTTGAAAGGAGGCTGTGGATGTGATAGCGCCGGTTTGGAACACTGTTCTTACTAGATATAAACTGGGTACAAATATCACACAAAGCTGCCGCCTTCAGAAAATGTGTGAACAGCTTCTGCCTGGTGTTTATCCTGCACTACGCAGGTTTGGTTTACAAGTCAGTAGCATTATAGGCCTAGACTTGTTTCTCTTTACTAAGCCAAAAACTCAGCTATTTGAAAATTATTAGTGTAAGTGTAATTCAAAATATTGCTTATTTGCAGATTAAAGTTTGGATCAGTGGAGGAACACACACATCCAGATGTTTAACGTTTTCCAACCACATATATTTTACCAAAATATACAAATGATCAAACTGATTGAATTGCAAACATTTAATTATTTTCTTTTTGTTTATGACTTGCAAAAGAAGAGTTCTGCAAGTTAAATTCAAAGTTTGGAAGAAACAAAATGCAGCTCAAGGTCAAAATCAGGAAGAGAATGCTTGGATAATGTATCCTCCCGATCTGAGTGACGTCTTGTACAATCACAATGTTTTGAAAGGACAGGAACAACAGCTGTCCCCAACAAAAGTGGCAGCGCTGCTAATCCCATTGGGGTGTGGGGGTGTTACTGGGCTTATGACGGGGTCCCTCAATTACTATAAAAGCCTACTGAGTAGACAAAAGGATGTACGCTCACGATGGCAAACACTTACTTTATAGCAATTCACTCATACACTCACAGAAACACACATAAAACAATACACTAGTGAATGTATGCATATACAACACAGGGCCACTCTGAAGATAAATGCTTATGTTTAACGTAAACCTTCCATTTATTTCCCCCTTCCCATCTTCCAGAGAAAGCACAGCCTTTTTACACAGGCGATACATTTAACACAGTTCACGGTCATAGGTTTAATCTCTTTCCCATTCATGAGCTTTTTTCTAATACAAATACATATAGAGTCTATTTAGAAAGTGCTAGTTCTTTGGACAAAGACCTTTTATTTATTTTTCTGAGAACAATTAAGCTTTATCTGTGATTAATTGCATTTCCAAAATTCCACAGCCGATACATAATTCATTGGTACTCTGTTTGCAAGTCATTCTGAACTTAATTCATTGAAATTAGGAACATTTCAACCTTGGAAATCTAGTTATAATTGTGGTTACTGGATGCCCTGAAGCATTTTCTTCCAGGAGAGAACTACGAATGTAGATTTCAGTGTTGAATGTTAATCATTGGCAAAACATAACCAGTCTTTTAAAGAACAGCAGCAACATGTGTGTGTTATTGAGGCTTTATAATTAAGCAAACACGATTACACAGAAAAACACTTTATTGTATTTATTTATTTCTTCTACCTCGGCACATCTCTTAATAACTATACAACACAAATTAATTTCACTTTGCCAAGAAGTTATCACTTGTTTTATCTTTGGGGTTACCACAACACACATTGAAAATAATGTTTTTTTAATAGTCTAGACTAATTTTGACATCAAACTGTAATTTAAAAACACGGGAATCAAGAATATTATCTTGCTTTCAAATTCCTCCTCTGCAGTTGCATTTAACAAATAGAAGTCAAGTGCTAACAAAGACGCAAAAATAATACAGGGCGACAAACTGTCTCTCTCCTTTACAACAGTAACAAAAAGGAACAGACAGATGCAATCCTTATTAATAACAATCAGATACATATATGAGGCATGACTTTTCCTCCTCCTCTGATACAGTGCTTTAATGAACTGCAGGCAGAGGATTAACATAAACACTATTTTGAAACCCAAGTTGGAGACTAATTGTATACTATACACAGTGCTTGAATTGGAATGAAAAAGGTGCCAGTACTCTAAAATCAGCAACTTTTTCAAGTCAATTTGATATATACAGCCCACAAACAAGAATTTGGCTACTATAATGCTGGTGGGTTTGTCTCTTTACTACTGTATGTTTTAGAAAGGTTCACTGTACTTAACATTTTTTATGATAGGCAGCGGATATGGCTAAAGCTCAGTAAGGTCAATATTAACTGAAAATATAGCAATCAAAGTCTAGATCTTCTGCTGAAGACACATGAAGCAGAGACCTTTCAGGTGAGAGCCCCTCTGGTGGTGTTCAACATTAATGACAAGGAAACAAAGCTCTGGTCAGAAGCATTTTTTATAAAAAGCTTTAACAAAATTAAGTATTTCTGTACATTTTGAATGCAATCTAACTTTCCAACTCAGAAAACGAAAAACGAAAAAGTGCCAAAAGTCTTCTCACATGGCTGAGCTGCTTTGCAATATACTTCACCACTGAAGAATACAAATATGTATAAAGTAAACTATGATGCAATCTAACTTTCCAACTCAGAAAAATGATAAAGAGCATGAACAAAGAACATGTAAAAACAAATGCAAAATTTGCACAATCTAAAATGAGAAACTGTAACTGCAAGTAACAAAGTCTGAGCCATGGTAAAGAGTTACATTGAACACCAAGCTGATCAGATAACTCCCTGGTTGGTCTGAAGTCCTTCTATCTCCAGGATCTGTACAAATCGGCACATTATGCCAAAAGTCTTCTCACTGGGTGAGCTGCTTTGCAATATACTTCACATTGTTAGAAAAGGCTCCAGAAGGCCTTGGGGACATCAGTATCAGGGGCTGGAGCTGGACAGGCTCTTTCATCAGCACTTCTCCTTCCCTTTGCCAGCCAGGACCTCACATACTGTTCCGGATTGAACTGTCCTAGTGATGGTCCATTACATTTAATGAAAACCAGGCTGGACAGTCGGCTGACAGAGAGAGCATTCCTTTTTGCAGTAAGGATATCGTTCATGCAGCTGAATGCCCGCTCACACTCACTAGTGGAGACAGCGATGGTTCGGACTGCTTTCAGTAGAGGCTCCATGGCAGCAGGTGTACGGGATGCCCTGGTTTCCTTGTATTCGCGAAAGCCCTGAACAGTCTCTCTTCTGTCCACTTTCAGCACTTCGCACAAACGTAGCACCTCTACGTCCCCATACTGTACGTCTAACTCCTCTTCAGGCCAACTTCCAGGATGGATAACTTTCATGTCCTGGATTAGCTGATTGTCCCGGGCCTCCCGGCCATGTAATGGGATTTCTCTTGTGCTGACATGAGAGGAGGTTGTGGAAGTCATTCTGTGTCTCAGATTCTCTACCATACTGCGGAAAAACTGACCTGCATGAATCTGTACAAGCCTGCCATTCTCACGCAGGGCAACACCCTTGAAGGACTTCTCAGCTAGAGCTGTATGAACTGTAGTCATGTGTGGGCCAGGCATGGTGACCATGGATTCAAAAACTCGTATTTCTCGAGTTAAGAGCCTATCTGCTGTAGGCAGTGTCATCTCTCTTTTTTGGAGTTGCCGAGAGAGGTCGCTGAGCTCTGTGAGCGCATCGTACATCAGTCCCAGATTGCTGACAAACGTTGCAGATGTGAGCACATCATCCAGGCCCTTGTACTTTGCTCTGTCTCTGGAATCCCTGCTCGTGTCGTTTGCAGCATTTGTGAAGTGATCATGAAGCACTCGGTAGTTTTCCCAGACTGCTCTGACGCTCCTTTCACTTGAAGCCACCCAGCGGATGGACAAAACACGCCCTATCACCAGGAGACGCTGTCCGACTGCTTGCGCACACTGCGCTAACTGCCTCTGATTTTTGGGGGAGGCATGGAACAAGGAATAGAGTTTGTCAAAAAAGATCTGGAAATGATTGAGCCCTGAGACCTCCTTGACCACATCCCCAACTGCCAGCTCTAAACAATGATTGGAGCAGTGCCACACAAACAGGCTTGGGAATTTACTACACAACTGGGTAGCAACGCCTGTTCTCTTCCCTAGCATGACTGAAGCCCCATCACATGCAAAAGAAACGAAACACTGACCTAAAAAGTCCTCGTTAAAATCTCTTCCAAGACACATTTTAGAAATGCTAATTTGTGACGTGACTTGCTTTCCTTCTCTCGGGGGCGTGCCTGCTCTGTTCTATCACTCTACATAGCCACCCACTGGGTGGGAGTTGCACTGCATAAACACAACACACGTGCATCTAGGTATGTAAATTGTAAAGCATTAAAACATGGTTTTACTAACAGTTTTCAGTATGTTGTTACTTCGGCATTATTATTATTATTATTATTTTGAAACGTGTACTACTATTAAATCACGGTCAAATAGGTTAATTTTGACATAGTCGTTTCCACCACAGTATTTACATGGAGAATATAAGCCCCGCCCCCTCTCCAGCACGTTCTGTTTGAATGACAGGAGTAAACAGCTGACAGCCGCTGTGAAACTCCAGCGGTTAGAGCGATGAGAATGTCCGTTCGGCACCTCATGACGCATCTACTGAGTACCGGGCGGCTGTATATATATATATGGATGTATAATAAGAACGGCGGGAGAGTGTTGAGTACTGGCACGGTGCATGAGTACCGGAGTACCACCAGCATGCCGGTACTGAGCAATAAGTGCCGGTACTCCATGGGTCAGAACCAGAAGTGCCGGTACTGCGTACCGGTGAGTACCGGCCCAATTCCAGCACTGACTATACAGTATATTGTAGCGAAGAAAACAAATCATGCATCTCATCAAAGTAATGTGACTCAGCTTTAATCATTACTGAGCCTTCATTAACATCAGCTCATATGCAGTATCTGCTTTGAGTGCCATTGAGCTGTGCCATGAAACCGCACTTCAAACCCCACAGGGGACGTGCATGACTCCTTCCTACTTCCAGCTACGTTGACGATACCAGAAGTGTCTGGCCTCATTTCACTCAACTATAGCCTCATATTTAACCAGAGTACGGGTGGAATATATTTGTTTTCAAAATGTTTTATCGTATTGTATTACTTCTTGGCTTTGTTGCCTTCTCAGCAGTATGCAGTGGGTAAGATGGTTCCCCAACGTGGAAGATAATGTGTTCAAAAAGAGATTTATTACAATACAGAAAGAGGTACATCCGTACTCCGGCTCACCTTTGCTGCGCCTTCGTCCTCTGTGCTGTTCTGTGTAAAACTTCATCTGGCTGTCGTCTTCGGGCTCAGAGCCTGATTCCCCTTGAGGACCAAACACACCTCCAGGTGCTGGTAGTGAGATATGAGGAGGAGAATGGGAGAAATGGAGAAAGAGTCAATCAATACAATATTTTTTACAGGTCTGAATGTTACATTGTTAACTAGTATGGAAAACAATATAACACATTAAAGCAGCATAAGAAAGAAACACAAGTTAGTTAGTATGTGAGAACAAGACTGTATACAAGTAACAACACAGGTTAGTCATGAGAGTGATGGACTTCAGATTACATTAAAAGCCAATGTATTTAAAATGCTAACCACCTAATCCAGTTAATGGATGCAAAATGTTGTCATTAGTTCATTTTTGCGTTTTCAAATGAACATGCATTAGTTAAACAACAGTATACATTCCAGATGGCAATAACAGTGACAAATTGGTCTAATTCAGTATGGGCAAGTATAGTTTTCCAGAACTCAACATATTTCTCCTGTGAATCAAAAAGCAGTGAAACAATACCAGTATGCTGTTGAGTTATTATCCTTTTTAAAAATGTTCTCCTTTCAAATAGCTTTGCCCTTTTTCCTTGACTGACAGATGACTGACAATAAATAAGGGTTAGAAACCAGAGTTGGGGTTATTGTAATGCTGTAGTTGGAGGATGGGAAAGGAGTAATTGTCGTAATTATAGGGGACTCATTTATAAGGTCCATATGTGGTTCTGAAACAGAAACAAAACAACAACACAATGTATTTGTCCTCCGTAATGTGGCAGCAATTTACCTCCTCCTGTGCTTTTCAACATCTATAGAGGTGTTGAGAAAACCACTGCTCTCCACACTATGCTGTTCCCTCATGGCTGATCTGTTGGCCAGTGTGGGTAATTTGTCCATTGTTACCAAGTCTTTGGAGCTCAATTTGTTTATCAAATTGGGTCACATCCCCAGAGTGTGTGCGTGTCTGTTTTTTAAGTCAGAGAGTAAGAGTGAGGCTATGAGAGTTAAGAGGCTTTGTTTGTACGGTGCTGCCACTTCCACATCAAAACACACATCCATGCTAAATGCAAAAGGGCTGCCTCAAAATGCCAATTGCTTGGGATTTGCAAGGTGTAAAGCCACTGATGGATAAATAGGTAATCTAAAATAACCTGTAAGTGTTTGTGGATGACTTTGAACGGCGTTCTAAGCCTGATATTAGGGGTGCACCAGAGAGTTTCTGTTAAATATGTTTGTTATTGTATTTGTTTTATTTAGCCAAAGGTCACACCCTAAATGACTATGCTAATAGCATCCATTCATTTCCTCATGGTTGTACATATGTTTTGGTGTATAATCCCCAGGATCAGAGTGATTACACTTCCTAATCTCGCAGAGTGGAAAGGGGATAATGGGCAGAGAAAATCAATCTTTTGTTCTCTTGACTATAAAGGAGCCTCAGAGGAGAAATGCTTCTTCTGTTGACAGCAACTTAAAAGCAAGCATGGAAACATAGAATGGGTGTGGTGTCAAATCCTTATCCATATCATGTTAAGTTAGTTGATAATGGCTCATAAATATGTACTCTTTACTACTGTAAGAGGAAGAGACTCTATCCCCACAGGGATTAGTATACTGTACTGTAGGTCATACTCAGACCTCTAAGTACTGTCAGTTGGTAATGGTGGCTTTCGTGGCACGTGAACTTAAAAATGTAGTCAGTATAGAGGTTGGATATTACATAGAGTTGCATATTAATTTATTTTAGAAAAGTCAGACCATTGCCTGTTCTTATCAATCATCTGCGAAAGGTTTAAATGTGTAAGAAGTAAAATATATTAGTACAAATGCTATACCTATACTCCTACTTACATATTCCAGGTGTCTGAAGAAAAAAAGACAAGAAACGTATTTTGAGGAGCTATATCTAAGCCTACAGTTTAAAAATAGCAAGGCTTACATAAGGGACATTCAGCTTTCTCTTATTTAAGTTTTTAAAAAGTCAAACCTCCCTCATTAAAAGCACTTTATTGCCAACAAAAGAGCAACATATTCTCTCTTCATTGTTCACTGAGCAATTTGCACGTTCATAATTCCTGTGCAACTGCGGCGCAATGCAGGTATCATTTCCTTCTCTCCTCACTTTATAAACATTAAGTCTTAGCTCGTGAAAATGTGCCTGCACCATAAAGATTTGAGACATGATTAAAAGTTCTATTAACCCGGTGTAAAATGTGGGTATGGAAATCTGTAGTCATTCTTTTGGTCTGGTGCACTTAAGCAGGTCGAGAGGCGAGTTGGAGTTTGAGTGCGAGAGACTGGCAGTGTTTGGAGAGCGGAGCCAAGGCAATGTGGTGTAAAATTGGTTCTGAATTTATGCATGGTGTTATAACATGCACAGAGAGGTGTAAAAGGAGACTGAGAGAGAGAAACAGACAAGACAAACTAATATGTTTTTCAAAAGGAGCACAGTTGTGGACTCAAGAATCATCATCAAACATAATCAAAAACATTTATTTGTTTTAATCTCATGGACAAATGTATGGCTTCATTTATTCAAACAAAGCAACACACTGCCTGTGTTTTAACATGTTCTTTTGTTTTGTTTTATTTGTTTTGTTTTAATGTTCTGTATTTTAAATAGTTTTATTTAAGTATCCCAGTAATGACTGTTGCATGTTTTAAATGTATTGTATTTACTTGTTTAAAATTAAATGTGTTTTAGGTTGACTTTTAAAATCTGTCCAGGGACTACAGATGAAAAATAGCCTCTTGGCTAACTCTGGCACGTTTACAGAAATGTTCATTAATGTGCACTGTCCCTGTTAAATAAATGAATAAATAAAAATAAACACTTTATTTTGTCCATGATATATTCTAACTCTGTCATTTAATTGGATTTATTGCAACTATGCTGACCTTTGTTCGCAATGAAGGTATTTTCAGCAGATCATCTCCTATATCACCAATAAAGGCATCATTCCAAAAAGTTTTTTTTCTGGAACGTGTAAGGTGTTTTCTCCTCACAGGCTCACACATCAGAACGTGATGTTTGTGTTTGCAGTCCTTGAGATAGGAATTGCAGAGGTGCTTCTTGCCTGAACTTTAAATCCCATGTTGCTTGCCTTTGAAATAATCACTCGCAAGAACCATCAATGTGATTCATGCCGTCTTCACTTCTGACTTGAACCTTGAAGAACTTTGAGAGGGAGAATAAGTGCTTTTTGATTTGAGAGAAAAAAAGAAAATGCCTCGCAGTGAAAAGGTAATAATATTGCCAATCAAGACCTGGCTGATCTTGCAAAAGATCAATCAAATAAATAGCATCAAATGTTGACGTATAATTAAAGTCTTGGTCATAATATATGCTGAGGTGATGTGAGTAATTGTGATAAATGTAATCTGAGAACAGAGGTGGGGAATACAGAACGTGTGGCATCATATTATTAAAAGCTTAAACAATTGTGCGCCAGAGTGCTTTCAAATAAAAAATCAAAACAGCAGGGCTATAAAAAATAAAATGATCCAAATTATAAATACTGGATAGAGAGGAACAAAGTATCATAAATGAAAGAAGAGAGCGAGAGCTGTTTTTTTGCAAGTTTGAGAGTTACCATGTTTACAGTCTTTTTAGTCAAGTCTTGGTCACCCTCAGTAGAACATAATAACCCAAAGTTGAAAATGGGCCGCACCTAATCATCCATGGCTGAACTTAAGTGCGACTGACATATCAGCGACATAACCAGGAGCATTTAGGGCCGTGGGAGTTATCAATGCAAAATATCCTTAATCTGTACCCAAGGAATAAAGGAAAGGATATATTGAAGTAGGATCACATTTTGTGGCTTTGATTAAGTGAATGTGGGGAGGACATTTTCTGTGTGGCAAAAAAACACAAAACAACTTAGCTTTGGCTATTTATTTTTAAACTAATAACCCTAAAGAGCCCCTATATGAAAAGAGAAATGGAAAATATGCCCTCACTTTGCAATAAAACTCAGTAAATATTAAGCACAAAAAGGTTGCCACCATGCAGGTCAAGGACCAATTCATTGCTCGCCCATATTGGCACACAGACAATCAGAGCACAAATTAGCCTTCCATTATGTTAGCACTTTTTATCATGCAACATATTGGAATATTTTTTGGCTAAAGGATGAAATACAATTACATGTTGTTGCAAGTAAGATATACAAGCATATTTAGTAAGGCTGCAATTTCAAAGCATAACAAATAATCCCAATCCAAAAAAGGTATGGGCAGTACAAATAAATACATTAATTTCTGAGGTAAATAAAAAACTGATTAAATGATGGCAAAGATTGAGCAACACAATGTCAAATATGTATCAGAGAGAGCTATTGCCACAGTGTATTAACAGCCCAGTGAACATCCAAATCAATTTGAGGTTTAATACCTACAGTCGCAACTGTGTACCCTCTTTGTTATAAAATGATCACATATTGCTGCCTGTCTATGTCTGTGAAGCTTTTGTTCTTTTGTGTTTGAACACATTTGGTGCTGCTGCCTTGAATATATTCTGTGATGTGTTCACCTTTTCTCTGCTGTCATGTAGATTTGAACAAAAGGCGGGCAAGTTAGAGAATCAAAAGCTTCTTTAAATAGCAACATTTCAGAGACACTAAGAATTAAAGCTGAAGAATACAAATATGTATTATACGCATGACTATTCAAGTACAAAATGGATAAATTAGAGTTTATCGTTACACAAAAGGGGCCTGTGTGTGTGTGTGTGTGTGTGTGTGTATGTGTATGTGTGTGTGTGTGTGTGTGTGTGTGTGTGTGTGTGTGTGTGTATGTGTGTGTGTGTGTGTGTGTGTGTGTGTGTGTGTGTGTGTGTGTGTGTGTGTGTGTGTGTGTGTGTGTGTGTGTGTGTGTGTGTGTGTGTGTGTGTGTGTGTGTGTGTGTGCATGCATGCATGCGTGTGATCCATATGACAGGTGAATTGTTCTTCCAGACACACAGGTTTGAAAAATAACACACACAAGAATACATCTGAAACAAGGTGCAAGAGTTTTTCAGAAATATTGCCCTGGGTATTTTCTATTTCACTGCTTCTCTTCCCTTTACAA